CATTACTCTCCCTTGCTTTTCCCTCATTTTGGAGAAATAATTAAATTAAAAGAAAAAATAAAATGAATGAAAAATTCTCCCCCCCCCTCTCCTCCCTTATTCCTCTCCATCCAAACATATTAATTGTTTCATTTTGTAACTTTGCACATATTTTGGACAATTTAAGGGTTAGTTAAAACTTCATAATTGGTGCTAAAATGACATTTATTTTTAGTGAGTTTTATCATTTTTATAAATATTTCCTCTATTCCAAAAAACTATTGTTATTTGATTTTGAGTTTATTCTAAATTAATTGTCATTTTTTTTTATTTTTTAAGATAAACAAATATTTTTTTACTTTAATTTTATCATTATTTATTTATTTTAATTAATTATCCTATCACAATAATCTTACTTTATCTTTTAGTTTTTTTTTTTTCTGAGGGTAATATAAATAAATACATAAATTATCTCTAAATCTTTAATTTAAAAAAAATTAATAGTTATTTTGAGACAAGAGAATTAGACTAGAATAATAGAGATAAAATTGAAATTATAGTATTTAATGTCTTTTATAAATAAAAAATGAGAAAAGTAAATTAAAACACAAAGTAAATTGGAACAAGGGGAATAGTATTTTTTTTTATTTCCATATATTTTTTTAGGTACTAGGCTCTAAAATTGCACTATATACTGTTCACTTGTATGGTTCATTTTTTATAATTCTTAACTATAATAATATTGATTAATAATTGAAATGAATTTTAAATTAATAAATACAAAAGTTATTTATGATACAGATTAATTTATTATAAACATATATTGAGTTTCATATCAATTAAATTATTTTGAGATACATATGATAAAGTAATTCATCAAATCTTCATTAATTTTTTTATCTTTGCATCTTTAATAATTATTATCATATTTTATTGCAATTTATCTCCTCTCCTGAAAACCCATATTAGAAGGTATTACACTTTCAGTGTTTTTTCATTTCCCTATACTACATATTGCATTAATTTTTCTTACACTATTTCTTAACTTACTCACACAGATTTTGTAATTGTAATTATCTATTTGTCTATATTCATCATCACTCTCTCTATATTAGTAATTTGTTTATTATTATTCTTACACATTTTATTCTCTTCCTATATTATTATTTTCTAGTCACTCTAATTTACATTTTCATTGATCATTATACATTTTTTTTCTAATTCTCTCTCTTCCTTTATGTACATTACATATATTCTAAAGCAAAACATAAGATATATAACTTTTTAGTATTATCCTATTCATATTTTTTTTTTACTTACCTTTACTCAACCTCGCATTAATTTTTTTTTTTATAACAGAATCTCTTAACTTATTATCTCATATTTTCTCAATATATTTATCATTCTAAATTATATATGCTTTCACTTTCCCGTTCTACACTAATAATTTATCTATTATTAATTTATTATTCTTCTACTCCTTATTCTCTCCTCTTTATCGTTCTTTAGGTACCGGTTGCATCTTCATCTATTATTATTTATCTTTTTACTTAATTTTCCTCCTTCTATCTATTAATTGTTTGATTTTTTTTTTATGATTACAATTATAATAATAATTATTAACTATAGATATATCTCACATTATTTTTAAATGCATTAAGTCATAAAAAATTCTGAATGAAAAATATGAAAGAAGATTTAAATATATAAATTTAATCAATTTAATCTTAAAAAATAAAGACAAATTTTCTTAATTTATTACCAATATTAGTAAACTGCATATTGCTAAAGGCGTCGTACCCCATCAAGTCAGTTGGTGACGGAAATACGTGACAAACGTCTTCCCTTCCATTTTCTCCATTTATTTTATGACTAAATTATTAGTTGGTCTCTAAATTTATTAGCCTAAAATCATTTTAGTCCTTTAATTTTTTATTATTATAATTTTAGCATCTAAGCTTTTAAAAGTTTAGGATTTTATGCTTGCATTTAGGTTTGAATTTATGAGTTTGTTTCATTATTATACAATTACGTTACTATTATTCATCTTGTTTCACAAAATAAAAGATGAACATACTGGTGAAATAATTATTAATTAAGGACCAAATTGTAAAATTCTAAAATAAAAACTAAATTTTAAAAATTTTAAAAAGTGGAGGAGCAACACTATAGCTTACCGTTAAGAAAAGAAACAAAAGTTCAAAATGGAATCATGCGTCCGCAGTCCGCAGCTCCTCGACCTTTATTTTTCAATTAGAAGGATTTTAAAAAAATCAGGTCAAAACCCAATAAGAAAGCGTAAATAAAATAAATAAGAAATCAAATTTTATTAATATTGGAATAGCAATATTTGATTAAATTATTTTGTAATATGTTGTAATATGTATGGTTTTAAAAGTCTATTGGTAT